ATTGATTAGTAGTATTTCGAGCAAAAACGAGCCGAACACGAACAAACAAATATTGTTCGTGTTCGGCTCGTTAACTTGGCGAACGAGTCGAACACGAGCTTCTTAACGAGCGAACAAGAGCTGTTCGTGAACATCGAGTCTTTTTGACAGCCTACATTCACATATCTATTGCTCAATCTTTATTATTATCACTATTTCTGACTTTTTAAAAATAAAATTCTTTTTATTTATATGCACATGTTTATGATATCGAAGTGCCATAAATATAACAATGAATGTTTAGATATTAAAATATATAAATAAATAACAATAATGTGGTGCATATGTAAATTTTAATTAAAAAAAAGGGAAATCTAATACCTTAAGTTTGATATTTTCACCCTAAAACATTTTGGTGTTATAGACTTAGACATGGAAAGTATGTATTTCATTCTTAAAAAAAATTTAATAATTATGATATCTTTGATGCGGCATTAAAAACAAGTGATATGAAATGTAAATATGGAAGTTTAGGTGTTAGATACGCAAATACGCACCTTGTATGGTATGTATCTAAATGCCCCGGAAACAAAATAAAAAAAAGCGCCTCCTTGGCGCAAGTGTCCCAACAATAAATTCCCGCTCGCACTGTCAATCAACCCCGCTTACTTTGTGGGTCATCTCGCCTTCTTCCTCCTCTGCACGACCACCATACCTAACGGGCAATCTCTGCTTCTCTTTACTTATCGTCGCTCATCCGCAACTCAAAGAGGAAGAGGCGGAGACATGGGGGACTGTTTTAACGAAGACCTACTCCTCTCGCAGGAATCAGCGCCGTCGCCGGCACTCCTTGGTGATGGCGGGAGGCTGGACGGTGGACGGCCGGTACTTAAAGCAGCTCTATGACAACGTACATGGAAGCATCTATCTCGATCCGGTGAGGTCTCCTATTTCGTGAGTATTGCTTTGAGTGTTTTTCTACTGGGGGGATCTGTTTGTCTTGATTGATATTGGTCTCTTGGTCGTGGAATTAGAAACTTAATTTTTCTTTTCTCGGTTGAGTTTGTTATTGTGAGTATCTGATTCGATGTTTATAACTCTTTTGAGCATTATGGGATGTTGTTCTTTTCCTAAATGTTCCTTTTGTTATTGATGATGACGATGATGCTTTTATTTATTATAGCGCTTTTGTTTGGTGGTTGATCGAAGAAATATAAGTTATTTTTACCTATTTGATCGTGTCTTCATTTCTTTTTTTGCTTTGATTTCGGGTGTCTCAAGGACTATAAGAATCTAACATATTTCTTATTTTCTTGCATAGCTATGAAGCGTTTTCATTTGAAGTTCCTTCTTACGGTTCATAGACAAAGAAATAAAATACTATTGTTGACTGTCTTGCTGCACTCCTCACGTTGAACTACTATCTGTTTATTCTAACTAAAATTCTTTGTTTATTTGCATCTTCAACTTCATTAATACCTAGTTTTGTGTACTAGGTAATTTTTTTTTAGATGGATCGATTTGTTTAGTTGTTGCTATGATAAATTAAAAATTTTTATTCGTGGAATATGTTATTGGAAATTTCAAACATTGGGCTAGCAAAGTTACACTTTTTTTTGAACGTGGCTTAGTTGATTGGCCATTTTGAATGCCAATCCACTTTATACTAAGCATGATAATCAGATGAATCAATTTTCTTGATATTCATGGCGCGTCTTCACTAATTTTTTTTCTTATCATCAATTGTAATCTCCGCCATATCTTCAAATTTACCTTACCTTTGATTTATTAAAGGAATTGTTAGGCTCAATGTATTCCTAACCATTTAATTTGTCTTTTCTTTCAAGAACAACTACTAAAACAACTCCAATTTTACGATATAACTTTCTGCTATTTTTGTTAATGAATTCAGTAAGGTATCGGAAATCATGCCAAAGAGTTTGTATTATTTTATAGTTTCCTTAGTCTTCTTTCTATAATCGAAAGGCAAATTGAATTAGAATTAATATTATCATATACTTTCCTTATATTCTTTCTATACTAGGAATACAATTTAAATAAAATTAATATAGGTGTTAATACACCTTTCTGGTTATTGCCAATCATATAATTATACATTAGTACACTTGTAAGTGAATAGATTTTCTGAAAATTGTGACAATTAGAGACATAATGGCTTTCATCCCTCCATCAGTTGGCCAATAAAGTTTCTTTTAACTCAAGTCCAGGTTGAATACTCTTCCAATATCTCCAACCCAAACACCATGCCATCATCAATGCTCTTGTTAAAGATCCTTCTCTTATCCCCATTACCACCAACTCTTAGGTCAAACTCACACCTATAAGCTACTTTTTTTTGGTTCTTCCAATTTCATTTCATAAGCATAGATACAATCTTCTTGGCTACATTGATAGATCCTATCCTCTCCCACAACAAACTCTACCTAACATTGATAATATTCCAAACACACACACACACACACACACACACACACACACACACACACACACACACACACACACACACACACATATATATATTTTTTGTTGTTTGGTTTACTAGGACCAACTTATCCTAAGCTCCTCAATGTGTGCACTCTCCCCAAACTTTATACTTTTCATTGCATCTTATATATCACTTGCAGCATGAAATATTTGATCAACATCAATCTCGAACCATGTCGAGGGTGCATCACCCAACTTAAAGGTCTCAATTTTTTAACTAAATGCATTGAAGCCATCATTGCTTACATTCAACACATCAAAATCATTGTTGGTGAATTAGCCTTACTAGGCCATTATATCGATGAAGATAACCTAACCCTCAAAATCCTCCGATGTCTCAACAATGAATACAAAGATTTCAATTCAATCATCCATGCTTGTGCATATTCAATTTTATTTGAGGAAATGTTTGAAAACTCAACTTTGAAGCTTACACAAAGTGCAAATTAAGCCAAACAACTTACCTTAAATTCTAGCCACTAGAAATCCAACCCACAAACCTTCATACAAGCACCACCACAAATAACATACCAAACATCACTCTCAATATACCATCGAACTACCCCATCAGCCAAATCAGGTAAGTGCCAACTATATAATCAACAAGGCCATTCAACGCATTGATGCCTCAACTTCATTCAATAGAACATTACTTTTCACATCACCAAAATTGCTCTCCCCATGTCCCATGTTCCATGTTCCTCGTATAACCTAATCCCCTTGCACCAATCCATTGCCCACCCTCACTACCAATTGGGTTTTTGATATAGGTGCTTCGTACCATTTTTTTTTGGCTCACAAAGTTTCTCCCTTAAATTTGAAAACCCCTCCATTGAAAGTATTCATATTGCTGATGACACCCAAGTTCCCATCACTCAAAATTGGTTCAACAACTCTATCTCTCTAAAAACCATTTTTCTTTAAAAGTGATTTATGCATACTCTATAAAAAAATGTTATATTGGTTTGAAAATTTGTTCTAAATAAGAATCTTAGTTGAATTTTTATTGCATTTCTTTTTTGTCAAATAACATTAAACTGAATTTTTTCTCTTGAAAGTTAAAAAACTAAAGATGGTATCGATGAGTTGCCCAATGAAAAGTTGTTACATTCCAAACCACCAAATCACACACCAAACCACCAAATCACACACCAATTAACAACATCATTCTTTAGATGCCACTTGATGGCTCTACATCACCTCATAAGCTATTTCTAATGCCTTATCTATTACTACATTGTTTTTACTAGAACTTATCCATTCAGGAAGGTTGAACTCGCAAATCACTAGTTGTGAGGTCAACAAAATACTATGTTAATTTTGTTGATCATTTTACCTTCTACATATAGCCCTTACACCTTAAGAAAAAGTTCAATGTTCTTACTTTTTTCACCCCTTTTAAATTTCTTGTGGAAAAGCACTTTTGACGACTAGTCATATTGCTCAATAGAGTTAATGGCGACAAGTGCTTGGTTCTCAAATCCTCCCTTGCCTCCACTGGCATCTCCTACTTCACTACACCTCCCTACATTTAGAAACACAATGAACAATCTAGATGCCAGCATCATCTTAATGTTGATATCTTTTTATTATGTTCATATGCTCCTTTCTTTTTGGCTACATGCTCTCTACACCACATAGCTTATGAATTGAATGCAAACCATGTTTCTTTCTATACAATTCCAATTCAAAAATATTTTTTGTTATTCTTATAACCATACAAAATTAGAAATTTTTTGGGTGTCTCTGCTTCCTCTGACTAACTTCTAAATTACTTATCAATGCTGTGACACCAAGTTAAAAAAAATGTTTTAGAGCATGTGACATATGTAGAAATATCTTATCACACCCCAACTAGCGCCTCTTTTTAGGGGTCATCTGAGATGCGACAGAGGCTGACAATATGATCAGATCAACTCTTACCAGCACTCATCTTAACCTTTATAATCAGAACTCAGTGGGTGATGAATTAGTCTAAATGGATGCCGCATATACGTGATACATTGCAAGTCAAAGTTCATTCATTTTTACGGAAGCATGAAAATCATATTATTAAAGCATAGATAAATAGAACTGCTAAATTCAATATAATAAAAAATATACGTATCAAAAACATATACACAAAGCTCTCAAAATTATTGTGCAAAAACTATAAAAAGACACCCAGCTACTGGCCCTGATGCTCGTTGCCTCTACTGGAAGACAACAATGAAGAATGAGCAACAACGAATTTTGAGAAATGATCAGAGGCTAAAATAAGATTTTATACTTGAAAAAAACTTGCATGCTCGTATAAAAATATATATGTCTACATACAATTATAACATACTGATATAATAGAAAACATGTGAAAAAAGCAGATATAGGTGGTATAAAAAATTCAACTGTAGTGTAACATGCAATTCGTAAGCATGAAATCACAAGTATATAAAAGCTTGTTCATTTATTTCATGGATGTCATATCATAGTAGTTTCACATTTTTAATGCATAAAGTTTAACTAGTTTTATGCTCTTTCATCATGGGTTGTCACCCTATTTCAAAAACCATATAAATTATCAATAAAAGTTGGTTTTCCCCCAACATAACAATTATCGTTAGCCACCCTGATACCCACGGTTTTCTAATGTTTTGTCACCCTCTAATTCCAACGATTCCCAAAATTTCATCCCCTTATAAATTTTAGGAGTTGGGAATACTATATCCCTACATAATGTACTTGCAAATACTCATGTAATAATTTATCCCCTAATATTCTTTGTGACATTTAAGCCATCACTCCTGCATCAAGTATTTACTAGAAATTACATGTATCATAAGAATAGGCATAAGACATAACAAATGAATACCTGCAGAAAATTCATATCATATGCATATTCATATGTAACATAGCTTGATCATAGCAACATTACATATCGTTAAAAAATTAAGCATGCATTCATACATTTAATTGCAGATATCCCTTTACTATATGCAAAAAGTTCAAAATGCATTGTGTCAAAATAGAAGGCAACCTATAGAAATTTTTTTTTCTTAAATTAGCATAACATTATTTCACATGACTTGACGAAACAGCCCTACGACGAATTTCTATACGCTCATCTCGAGTTCGCTGCTTCTTATACACAACTTGGGGAACATAGACATCATAGGAATTCGTAAAATTCAAGTTCATAACATGATTTAACTTAAAACATAACTTATTCGCCCGAAACGTACTTCAAATGGGCTTTTAGGCATAAATCACTATGCTGAAACTGACTAATCTTTTTCCTATGACCTCCAACTTAACTTAACCTTCACTAAACTTATGCTAAAACCCTTTTGGAAGCTTGCAATTCGACACAATTAGCGCCTCCGACGGTTGCCAGAAATGAGAAGAACACGAAAAACGAGGTAAAAGTCAAAATTGAAGAGTGAGGAAGTAAATGAA